GAACAATAGACAGCGTGGGCAAGTCACCAAGGATCTGTCATAAACGAGCTAAGCACTGTGAATATGTGTGGAAAAGCATAGACGTAGGCATGGGGGAAAGTATTTGCAGGACCGGGGCCAAAATAATCTGCACTACAGGAGTGAAATGTACGGCACCGTCTCAAACTCTGAGTCAATACTGCACTGAGCGAACGGAGCAGCCAAACCAGAGCGCTATTAATTCAGCGGCAAATGCTGCCTCAAGCTTGAATTTATTAGAAGCTGGACTAGGGGAGCTGATGTCTCCTGACCCCCAGGAAGGATATACACACGTGCGTTTTCTGATGCATATATGTTAAGTGCGCCTGTGTCCCTGGCGACCTTCCAAATCAGATAAAGGTTGTATCCGCTGCCCTTGCCTGTAAGTTAGAGCACATGTTCAAGGCTGGGGAACAGCACCTAAGGGTGCTATTTCTGACTTTCCTAATCTCTTGCTTTGTGATCTTGGGCAACCCATTTCTTCTGTCCGTGTTGCAGGTTCCTTGGCAGTGTTATGTCCCTGCCACGCACTGAAATCACTTAATATCCACTGATGAAATGCATTATTTGACACCCACGCATTATTATTTTGGGCTGTGTGCACATTCAGAAAGACTCAGGTTTTGTGGCCTGACACACAGAAACCTCAACCCTCATGATTTTTCAGTATTTTTTTTCTTGGAGTCTGGAAATGAAGAGCACATTTGGGTGAAAGATGTGAACTCGCGAGGAAATGCAGTGATGGCAGAAGCACCGAAGGCACCTGGCTCTGCAGCTGCTTGGGAAAGCAGTGCAGGAGGTTTCGTTTGCTTTGGGAAACCTCTGTCAGGAACAAATGGATTTGGTTTCCTGGTTTGCTTCTAACACCTTTACATTTGTTAATTCTGAGATACCAAGGTGTGGGCTTTTTTTCTATTGTTTTTTCTTATGCAGTGAGGGTATATAATCATTAGGAACTTGGGGGAAAAAGAAAAAAAAAAGAAAAAAAAAAAGAAAGAAAAGGACAAAACCCAAAGGTGTCTCACATTTCATACTGGAGCAATACTTACGTGATTACTGTATTTTCTCAATTTTGGCCTGGACTTCCCATCTCATTTCTTATGAGCTATTCAGTTCTCTTTTTACAGTTTGCACATGGTCTCAGTTGTAACAGATAGGAACAGAAATGGTACAGTAAATCCTGAATAACAGGTTGACCTATGCCAACTAAACTTGACAGTTATATAAATGTATTTTCCAAGGAATGATTAAAGTTCCCTTGGGGTGTAAAATTTAATCTTAGGTGCATTTGTCAGATTCTGATAATGAAAATGGGGAAGGTTTCAGAAAAGCAGATACTTACCTAGCTGCCAGGCATTCAGTAAAATTATCTGCTTTCTGAGTTTAATACATTTTTTTTTCTCTAGAAGTGATTGATGTATTTTTTCATGCCAAAATCATTTCATAAAGAAAAAATATCTTTGTAATGCGAGTCGTTTTCCTTTCTACATTTTTAACCCTTGATTTGAACTGGGATGGGCATTTTCACGTTTCTGTAGGTTTTATGCTAACCAAAGGACAGGTATGAAGTTCAGAATTAACATTAGTGTTTTTTTTTTCTCTCAATTCAGGTACTTCCTCCACAGAGTAGTTTCACTGTTAGTTACTCAGCTCAGGGTTACCGTTACCGCCGAGCGCCCGGCCGCAG